GACTCTACCTCTGATCATCCAGCTTCAGCCATTCCTGGTAAGGTCTGTGCTGCATCTGCTTGGGAGAACCTGGCCCATTTGGATCTGGTCAAGCTGTGGTAAACAGATACCCGAAGGAGGTGACTGTGACCTGAGTGAGGCTTCCCAGTTCCCCAGAAACCCAGTACTGTTTACAGGATCTGCAGCTGATCCAGGCAGACCGTCTGGCATGGCAAGAGGCACTCAAAAATTGTCTTGATTAGCATATACCATTCAAGGATCTTGTTCAAGGAAGTGGCAGGATCTGGTCTTCTCTCTCCCCAGCTTCCCTTTAACACTTGAGAATCCATTCATGGGCTCATTCAAAATGAAGGAGGTGGTAACCTGTCACCTGCTGCTCTGTGCTTTCCCCCCCACACCCACACACTTTTTATCATGCCCAGGAACATCCTGCCTGCTGGAGTCTGCTCTATAATCACTGTCCTCATGTTCCACCTCAGTGATTAGCGACAAAGCACCCGGAAGCTTCACCTTTTACCCTACTCCCTTATGAGGCAAAGCCTGATGAGATGTTTTCACAGGGCCTACTTCATGTTCTCGGGTTCATTCCAGTCTAATCTGTTTCTGTGTTTATAGCTTGCGTAGCCCACAACAGGATAGTGAATGCTGTATTTCTACTTAACCATTGGTGGGGTGGGTTGTATGGGGCTTATTGTTCAAGGCCTCATCAGGAATCCAGACATACATAGTTTTGTCTAGGACTCTTGCCTAGACTTATCAAGGCTACCCCCTTTTCTAGGTGGCAGAACAGAATATGACAAAGACTTCAGGGCAGAACCCAGGGCCTTCTGGCCAAGTTGATCCCCTAAAAAAAGCCAAAATACAAAGCAACAAGTTCCAGTGTTAATGTAAGCGCCCAGTTTCAAAGATGACAGGTGCCCCTGATTTCATCCAAGAACATTTTATCATGAATGAATTGCTCACTAAGGAAAACAACAGAAACACACTGTTTTCCCCAGGGTTCAGTTAGCTCCTTGGCAACAAACCTAACTTAGGAGTGAAACCCCTCTGACCTTTAAATTAGGCAGCCAGAACCATGCAGTTAGTATTTCCTTTATTTTATTATTACTGAGTTAATTACTCAGGAAATTATGGGGTTATTCTTAATATGATGATCATTGTATAAATGATGATGATTCGTGTTAATAATTATTTGCACGGAGCTTTGTCCTTTGGTACATGAAAGTCTCATTTGCATCATCTCATTTTCTCACAGTGAATTCTCTAGAGAAACCCAACATTTATCATTCTCATTTTCTCACTTAATTCATCCTTTTGATTAAAGCACTGACATTCTATTTAGTAGACTACCAGAAAATCTTCAGAAAGAAAACAATCTAATTTTTCAGAATTTGGGATTTGATAACAACTAGATGTTTGCTTGCTCATTTTTTGTAATATTTATTTCTGCCTCTTGATAAGCACTGAGGTGTTTTTTTTTTTGTTTGTTTGTCCAAAAAGTGATGGGACATAAAGAAGCAAAGAGGGGTCAAAGATGACTCAAAGATCTGTCACCATACAAGTTCCATTCACTGACATGACAGAGAGGGAGAGAGAGGGAAGGAGGGAGGGAGGGAAGGGGAGAGAGAGGAGAGAGAGAGAGAGAGAGTCTGAGGAGAAATAAAAAATCTTTTATGTGCTTGCTACATATTCCAATAAAGCTGTTAAGCCATTAATTAGGTGTGGGAGTTTGGAATCCAGGAAAGGTGGGGGCAAGAGCTATGCATTTGATATGTTGTGGTTTGTCATTTGTCTCGAAACATTTTCGGATTTTGAGATTTTCTTTTTTCCTTGACTCACTTACTGGTTAAGAGTGTATTGTTCAATTTCTGCATGTTTGTGAAGATATATGTATTTGCATATTTGTGTATGTGTGTGAGTGAGACTATCTATCTATCATCTATCTATCTATCTTCTATCTATCTATCATCTATCTATCTATCATCTATCTATCTATCTATATCTATCTATCATCTTTCTATCTATCATCTATCTATATCTGTATAGACAGGCATTTCTCTTCTTTTTTTTAATTAAAAAACTTGTTTTGCCTGCACATATGTCAGTGTACCTGTCTTGTGTAATGCCTGAAAGACCAGAAAAGGGTATTGGATCCCCTGGAACTGGAGTTATGGATGGTTGTTAGCTGCCATGTGGGTGCTGGGAACCAAACCCCAGTCCTTTGTGAGAGCAGCCAGTGCTCTTAACTGCTGAGCCATCTCTCCAGACCCTAGACCTTGGGATCTGAATAAAGTGGATTTTGATTCAGTATGTCTCAGGTTTCTTCATTTCTGGAAAGCTGTGGATGAAGATGCTGTCTGCAATCACACTTGGAGAAGTCAGTCTACATTGGTCACCAACAGAGGTCCAGATAGGAGTGTTTATTAATGGCAAGGCATGAGGGTCACAGAGCCTGCCTCCAGCCTGTCTCTATTTCTGCATGTAACAGAACGGGGAGGCCTTTGCCCCCATAAACAGAAGTTAGAATCAGTGAAGTGTACTTTGGTCAGTATTTAGAGATTTTTTTTTTTGCAAATTCTCTCTGCCTGGAGAACAATATTGCTCCCTTATAGGGTAATCACTAAATTGCATTATAATTGCCTTTAAAAATAATGAGGCTGTATGTGCATGTGTGTATTTTCATCATCAGACAAGCAACATGCCACCGCTTTTAAGAATCTCTCCATCTAGTTCTTACTCAGAGTAGGATGAGCGAACCCAGCAGGTGCGAATGTGTGTGTGTGTGTGTGTGTGTGTGTGTGTGTGTGTGTGAAGGCAGGGGCTGTGTGAGGCTGGTGACTGCTTCAGACATGAAGGCAGAGTGTATTCTTTGGGGGAGATGTTCTCAAACTAAGAAAGGCAAACATTCCTTGGAGATGTGAGAAACACTGGAAAGCCAAAATTGTCCAGGGCTTTATATAACCAAGGAAAAGAGCCAGCTAAGAACAAGATGGTAAGAGAAAAACCCTGCCAGGAGCCCAGTCCAAACCCTGGGGCCTCATTTGAGTAACCCAGGGCTCATCTACTAGGACAGGGATTTTTATGATTTCCTGAAAAGGGCCAAATAGTAAATGTTTCTAATTGTGTGGGCCATGAAGTACCCACAGCAGCTATTTATCTGTACCCTGGAGCAGCCATCGATAGATAGTGTATATGGCAGTATAAGCACTGAAATGTGACATTCACCTTATTTCTTATGTATCTCAAAACATTATTCTTTTGATTCTTTTCAATCACTTTAAAATGTGAAAACCTTTTCAGCTTGCAGGCCTTGCGAAGACAGGCAGAAGGCTGGGTCTGGCTTGTGATTGGAGTTGGTTAAATGCTTGCTGAAGCGTTCTGTTGGTCTGTTAGGATCTCACTGAACAGATTCATCAGTGTAAAATAGTAAAGTGTAATAAAATAGCCTGGCACAAAATTTAGTGTGTACAGTATTATCTACTAAAATAGGGAAATGGTGGCACTGGGATTATTTCGTATTAAGGACATAAAACCCGCTGAAAATATTCTTTGTGCCATGCAAGCATGATGACATTAGTTGTTTTCCAACAGTGATAAGACTCCTTCACTGCACACCATAGAACACTTTATTACTTCCTGACCCTCTCAGTGACCTTTGAGAGGTAGGGACAGACATCAGTCACCATTTCACAAACAAAGAAACTCATCCACAGACCTGGTGTCGTTAACCTAGAGTGACAACACTACCTGAGGCCTCACACAGAGACCTTCCACTTCCAGATGCTGTTACTGTTTTCATCCACCAATGTGGGTGGTCCTCTCGAACTGAGTCCTCACATGTCATTTGCAAGTCACTAGCTGGACCATGGAACTTTTCTCTTTGAGGGATGGGGGGAACATTAGATCCCAGGTTATCCAAGGATGACCTAGCAGAAATGTAGTCCTGTGCTCTCAGTGTGCGCTTGGAGGCTAGGAGCTGTGAGAAGCAAGGTAAAAGTAAATTTTATTGCCCATAAATGGCCATAGAAAATTCCCAGGTAGGCAGTGATGACCATTCACTCTCCACACTCTGGGGCTGTTAGGACTATAGTTCCTCCTGAATTCAGGGAACTGTTTTCTGCAGGGGAGCCCTGCCTTGTAATGTGCCCTCTAGTGGCAGGAGCTATAATGAAAAAGGCACCAGCAAAAACTTGGTTTTGCTTCAGGTTTATTCATGTTCTTGTTTTCTATCTCCAACAATCCTAACCCGCTTTTCTCAGTTTTCTCTTGTGGCCTTCAGGAGCCTAGGTGAAAAGAGAGAATCTTAGAAACATTGAGCCACATGGGGCAAGTTGAAGGCGCCCATTGGCCAGCCAACCACTGAGATGCTGACAGGTGCTTTTATCATAGACCACGGCTGCTGAACAGCCTTTCCTGATGGGAACCTGTGTTAACTCTTGGCTGGTACTTGATTGCCAGAAAATAAGAATTAGATGTCTGGTCAATGAATGGATGTTGTTTAACCCAGATGCCTCTTTCCAGGTATCTGTGTCCCAAGGTGGACAGTCGTGACCATGAGGGGGCTCTGAGGTACTGTTTCTGGTAGTTGTTGCTTTAATGTTTAGTCCAATGGCTTGGGACACTTGGCAATGGTACAGACTGTGAGCTACAGCTGTTCCTGAGTCTGTGACACTAGAGAGTCAATCCCCTCCTCATGTAGCATGACCCTGCCTCATCCTCTTTCCTTTTAGCACACCCGTCTTCATGTTGAGCATTGTGTCTGTCTTGTTCCTGACTGCAGCATCAGCTTGCTCTTCCCCTGCAGTGGGGCCCAGCCCAGGAAATAGTGCTGAAGAAAGTCACCTTCCAAGGTTTGGCTAAGTGGGAAGGTGGGAAGCAGGCAAAGAGAGAAAGGCAGCGGATCCGTGAAGGAGACAAGGAAGCATAGCGCATCTCTGTCCCCTTGCTCACTGCTGTGGAGAGCACCAAGGCTGCATGAGGGCCTTTAATCTTTCTTCCAGGTTGAACTGGAGCACACTGATCCCATCATGGCTTCAACATCGACACCTGGGTCTGCAAGCAAAAGGCTCCAACTTTATGCTGGAGGACTCCACTTTCTGGATCTTTGGGGGATCCATACATTATTTCCGTGTACCCAAGGAATACTGGAGGGATCGCCTGCTCAAAATGAAAGCCTGTGGCTTGAATACCCTTACCACGTAAGTGTTATGCCCTGATCCCTCCACAAACCCTGACTACCCAAAAGGGACTCCTGGTGTTTGTAGGAGGAAAGCTATAAGACAGAGAGTGAGCTCAAGCTGTGTGCTTAGATTTGCAGAGTCCTACAGAACTCCCCACTGATGGTCAAGAAGACATATAACCAAGTAGGAGGAGAGAGAGAGAGAGAGAGAGAGAGAGAGAGAGAGAGAGAGAGATGGATGTGGAAGGTGATTCATTTCATCTTGTGGCTTGAATAAAGAAACTTGCTTTTTCACAGCTCTGGAGGCTAGTGACCTAAAGTGAAGGTATCCTCAAGTTTGGTTTCTCCTGGGGCCCCCTGGCCTGTGCAGAAGTATCATCTCCCGTGTCCTTCCATGGCTTTTCCACTGTGGGTCTTCACTCCTGGTCTCTTTTTATAAGGATACTGCATTTTTCTGTTTTTGAGGCAGGGTCTTAAACTGTACAGCCCAGGCTGGCCTCAAATTCTTGATTGTCCTGCCTCAGACTAGTAAGTCTTGGCATTGCAGGTGTGCACCACTTCGCCTACCTTCACAAGTAACTTTTGTACACAAAAGTCTCCCCACCTCAAATATGAATCTTAGATGAGTTTAGTGAGGCAGCTGCCTGCCAGCAGCAGTTCAGCAACTTCTGGAATGATCTTTGGATTACTGTGACCGTCATTCCTGCATCCAGCCCGATGACTGGCGTGTGGCAGGCTTAAGATGAAATGCTGAATATACAAATATTCTTAAAAGTAGGCCCAGTGTGAATAGTCTCAATCTTTTCATGAATATTTTTTTCAATATTACTAACATATACTTTGTACTAGTTCTATGAAATAAAGATTATTAGGCTGTAATACCCCATTTTCAGGCAAAAATATGTGATTACAAATCAAGGAGATGGGATTTCTTGGTGGTTTATGAATTGGCTTTGAAGATAGTTTTTTAAAGAGCTATGACAGCACAATTGAGAAAAATGTGGACAAGTTTGTAGACTCCTGACGGTCATAGGAATGCTGTGGTGTATGCTGACCTGGGGTCACAGAGCCCAACCTTTCATTCCATACTTTACCCAAGACTACTTGGCTTTCTGTCCCTGTCCTAAGGAGATGAGCTATTCTTCCCAGAACTTTCTACATCTGATCTCTGATTTCTGAAGTCACTGAGAAGTGCATCTTCAGCTATTATAGAATAAGCATCATGAACAAATTCTCTGTAATTATCTTTTCTATTACAGCTATGTTCCATGGAATCTCCATGAGCCAGAACGAGGCAAATTTGATTTCTCTGGAAACCTGGATCTGGAGTATGTGGTTGTGCTGCTTTTGTACATGGTCTGGGATGGGAGGCTGAAAGGAGATTGTTTGGGACTGATGAAGAGCCCTCAGATGCCATGTCTTTGCTTTACTCTGAGAAACAGACAGTCTGGAGCTTTGTTCTTAGGATGCTGAGACCAGCTCTGTACCCAGGGTCTGGATGTTCCCCAAATGTGATCTTTCACCCATGGGACTCAGTCTATAGCTCTGACCTCTCTTTTCCACTGCAGCCCAAAGGGGCAAGACCCCAGGTGCTGCCAGACTTTGAAGTAGAATCCATATACCTGGGCTGGGATTGGGGTTGATTCTGGGTTAGCAAGACTGTTGTTGGAGAAAAAATCCCTGTACCCTGTCTGACACCCCCAATGGGACTGTGTGGATGGTTTTCATGATAGGAGCCAGTGCACACCCAGCTCCTAGGGCCTCTGGCTCCCAGCCTGGTACAGGAATTCCCTGTTGTACAGGGCTGGGGCCAAGTGTCCCTCACCCCAGGGCTGTTGGTTGAGAGAGGAAGGGGAGGGAGAAGTGGGGTAGCCTTATACTCAGTGGTGCCTGGGGTTCCTTTCATACCCGCCCCCCCCCCACACCAGACCTCAGGGAGAGGGGCTGACATTCTTTCCTTCCCTAGGGCCTTTGTTCTGTTGGCTGCAAAGATTGGGCTGTGGGTGATTCTGCGACCAGGGCCCTACATCTGTAGTGAGGTTGACCTCGGAGGCCTGCCCAGGTGAGTAGGGTTGTGAGTGGCTCCATAGTGGCCCAAAGTAGCTGGATGCCAGTTCATGAGGCTCACAGGTGTTGGTTTAGTTTTGTTTTTAAGGTAGTTTTTATTCTGTGCAAACTTTCCCTTCTAGAACAGGTGTCACCCACATGGGATCATTTGGAATGATTCTGAAATTACTCCTTTTGTCAAATCTGCAGGGATCTTTCTATGTGGCAGGTGACAACAGCAGGAGGGCTGGCATTTCATTCTTCTAGGCCACACTGTGGAGTGGGGCCCAGGCAGGCCACCCCTCTGCTCTGGGCCTTACTTTTATTGACTGCAAAATGGGACAAAACAAGTCTGCCCTGTCTGTTTCTTAGAGATTTGACGCATCATTTTTTTGAAATCTAAGTGTTACTGCTGGTGTTGTGGTTTTGTTTTTAAGTCTCTCGAGTCTGTTCTTGCTGAGTGCAGTTTCCACCAAGGTCAGGGTACTGGGTGATGTGCACTTACAGCGAAGTCTAGACAGGTATCAGCTGGGTCCACTGTCATTCCTCATCCTTATTATGATTGCCTTCATTTTTAGCAAAATGAATCCCTTCTTAACAGAGGTAGTGGTCCCTAGCCTCACACCATCACATGTGCTTAGACCCAGGCTCCACCTACCTGTGCTGTCCCCAGAGGAAAGAAGGCTGAGCCTGTTGGTTTTGAAGTCTCCTGGGGAACTCTCTCCCCACAGCACAAGTACTGAGCTGAGCCCAGGCCTTATTTTGTCTCTGTTTCCAGCATGGCCTTTCCTTAATCAGAGGCACATCCTGTCTCCATCTTTCCAGTACTCAGGATCACTTTTCTGAGCTGGCACAGTGTCCTGGACAGGGTTGTGAACAGAGACAGAGCTGCCCCCCCCTTCCCCCCGGATTAGAAATATTTGTTACTGTCAGCAATTTTCTTGGGCTCAGCTGGAGCTGGGCACAGGAGGACAACAGGGTTTAATAGTCTTAACTTAGAAGCAGTGGGGACTCTCAGATCCCAACCTTCCTATGGGGGGCACCTGCCTATTCATGACAGGGGGCATCCAAGGAGGGTAGGGTCCCAGTGCAGCGAGAAGCTTGGTCTGTTTAATGGTTGGGATGTGCAGGTCAGGCCAGAGGAGCCTCCATCTAGCCTTTCATTATCAACCCACATTCCCTGATGCAGTATGAAACTTTTAAGGGCTTCTGAATGAGGATAGGGAGGCCTCAGAGCCTCTGTTAGAAACTGTGTTTCCCAGAACTTGGTTTGAGAGGGACACACTTTGACTTATGCTTCAGAACTAGCCCCTGAGTTGTTCCCGAAATTAGTGAATTGGGCTCTTCCACGAATTAGCAGATGACACGGAAGACTTGTTTGCCCTCCTTCTGCTACCCTGGTGGCAGACTGCAGGACCCAGGCTTATGAGAATGAGTCCTTCTGTTGGGGTCTCACAGCCTGGGCCCATTTTTTTTTTTTCTGAGGGATTCTGGGAGGTTGAATCTGATCTTCTCCAGCGCCAATGATTCCTAGCCCTTTTGATCCCCACCCCAACCCCACCTTGGGGCAGAGTATTACTGCATAGGTCAGCCAGCCTGGTCCTCACCATTGAGGCCAGGCTGCTTTTGGCTTGACCCTTTTGTAAGAAAGTTGTACATAAATGCTTGAAAACTGAGTCTTAACTTTTCTCACTCTGCCAGGCAGAGATAGCCATGGAGTTGGAAATGTGCTTCCCAGGGCATTCAGGGTGCTGGCTGACACTGTGGTGTGCTAGTCTTGGATTGTGTACATAGCTTCCTAACTTTCTAGCCGAGTGGAGGTGGTGGGGTGGGGATGGACCTTGGCTTGACCTACTCTCTCGACTCATTCCTGAGCTTTCTGAAGCTGCTTCCTTCTCCCTGCTTGTCAGCCTGCCTATGGCAAACCCACAGACTCTGATACTAATGCCTCCCTTCCTCACTTCTGTCTCCAAGCTGGCTTCTCCAAGACCCTGGCATGAAACTGAGAACAACTTACAAGGGCTTCACTGAAGCAGTGGACCTTTACTTTGACCACCTGATGTCCAGGGTGGTGCCACTCCAGGTAAAAGCAAAAAGTTTTTTATCCTCTCCTTCCTGTCTTCTAGGTAGTAGGCAATCCTAGGTAAGCTCTCAGTTCCTCTCAACACAAGGGCACACACACACTTCTCTGTACAGTCTGTGATCTGACTTTAGAATAGGTGGGACTTATAATACTTTCCAAAGAATTAGTCATGCCCGTGTGGTCTCAGCCAGTGCTGAAAGGACAGACTGGGTGAGGTGATTCATATTACTCCATACAGGACGTGGGTAGATAGGATGTCTGGGTAATTGAAACATGCATCTCTCAGAGTCCCAACAGCCCAGTGACTCGGTGAGGCACAGCGCATAGTACACATGGATAGGTCCTGGATAGGACAGGAGAATTTCGTGTAAGTATAAGCAGTATAAGCTACTGCCTTCTGCTACCAATCACATTTACTGTTCAAAACAAATGTATTAAAATGAAAATTTTAACATCTTATAATTGAAAGTAATAAACACAAATGGGAATAATTAACCCAGATGCTTATGTTAAACCACAAAAAATGACACTGGGAACTTTGTACATGAGTAAAAATGAGTACATTGATTAAAAAATGCTTGTGCGTTAATGGTTTGGAACACTGGTAGCAATGTAAGTCAAAATGAACTGCCAGATGAAACAAGGGATATTGAGGTTGATTTAAAGGTTGGATAAGCAGGAAAAACTTTTAGTATAAATATACCCCAATATCACATGAGCCATACTTATATTTACAGAACTATTGCCTGTTTATTTAAATGTCTTCATTGTAAGTTCGATGTAACCGAGTGTCCTATCTCTTTATCACTAAATCAGGCAGCGCTAACGATGAAAGAAATGGGAAGCTTGGAAGTGCCTAGCCTAGGTTTTCCCAGGGAAGGTGGCCTTACTGGGGTGGTTCAGTAGAGTAAGTGGTAGGGGCAGCAGGGAAGGTACTTCTGGGAAGCATTCTGAGGCATGGCAAGAGTGTAACCAAGCTTGCATCTGGTATAGCATGCTTTTTTTTACTTTTTTATTGTGTAAAATATGCATAATAAAAACTGATCAATTTAAATATGCAGTCCATCCTCATTAAATACATAATAGTCCCTCTTGTCACTGGGGATATGTTCCAAGACCCTTAATAGCAGATACCTGAAACCACAGATAAGAGTAACCTACATATTACGTTTTTCCCATTTGAAGATGCTTAAGTAATGTTTATATAAATGGGACCCAGTAAGGCATTAGCAATAACAGCTTATAAAATGGAACAGTTTTAGCACTATACTGTTATAAACTTGCCAGAATGTCTAACCTTATGCTTTGGGCAATTTTAAGTAAAGTAAGGGCCACTTGACCCCAAGCAGGGCAGTCCTCAGTATGTCTGAAACTGAGAAGGGTGCTAAGTGACTGACAGGCAGGCTGTGTCTACAGAGCAGACACCCCGGACAAAAAGATAACTCTAGTTTGGGCTGAGCAGGATGATTTCATCGGATTACCCCTCACACTAAATTCCTGCACAACTTAAAACTTACCGTTTACTTATGGAACTTTTCATTTGCTGTTTAATACTGCAGTTGGTCATGGGTAATTGAAACCTGCAAAGCAAAACCACAGCCAAAGAGGAAACTACTGTGTGGTGGCTGAAAACACTTTCCTGCTTCTCCTCTCTCCTCTCCTCTCCTCTCCTCTCCTCTCCTCTCCTCTC